CTCAAACAGTCAGTCTAAGCCCTGATATTCAGAATAAAGAAGCCTCCTTGAATGTGTACTGTGGTAGTGGTTTTACATTTGCCATAAGGTCACTCTCTGTCAATCCTGCCAGTATTTCAAGAAATTGAAAATGTTCCTGGGTAGCAAGTGGCATTATCCACACTACTACATGGAAGGATTTTAGGAGTTTAAGTGTCAGATTTCTTTCATTAATGCCCTGAAATATTAATTGGAAGTTCAGTTAAGATTATGTTGCTCAAGATGCTCGAGAGAACAAATCTACAAAAGAATCAATACAGAAAACCGTACAATTAGGTCAGTGCATAAGTGTCCTAGAAATGCCCAGCAGTTGTTTCCCATTTAAAGTTCTTTTTCTTATTTCCACATCTGCAGAGAAATGTCAGGTTTGGTATCTTGAATGCCTCCTATCACTGTTTCATCAAACATGATATTGGATCCGATGTTAGTTAACAGCCAGTCTTGGTATCTATGGAACAACACCAGATGTGTTTAAACAATGCCCTAGCAGGTGCAAGACATCTTCTCTAATGCTTTTGCTGTTTGGATTTTCTTGATGCCTTGACTGATGATTATGTTAAGTTTTAAGATGTCATGGTGATGTAGATGGAAAGTTTCAGTTTTAGCATCGATGATATGGGTTTTTATCAACTTGCAGGGGACCAACCATGTATTTTTTTTTATATTAATCGGTATTTAAAGAAAATCTCTTTAAGTTGGGATTTAGATGTATATACACATTTTGATAATGACTTGCTCTACAATAATGTCAACATAAACTGTGAGACTGACTCGATTAAAAAGACGTAATCTTGCAAGCATTGGCTATTCTATTTTTCCTCTCCTATTCTGTGTCTTATATGCTTACCTGATTCTATAGTCTTATGAGGTTCATTCTTTTCAGCATCATTCTTCTTTAGTAATAAAATTTAGGATGATGAGATTCAAGTTGTGGGGTTAATTGTTTTACTACTTTTCATGTTACACTCTCCCCTTCTTGTGCATGCCAGCTTCATGGTCATAATATTTTTTTATTTTATCTGAAATCTAAGTTTGAGTTTCCATGTTTCCCATTATTTTGCTTCTTATTACTTGAAGCACCAAATGATTATTCTTGAGGGTCTCCTCCCTCGAATGGATAGCTGACGATATATGTATATTTTCAAAACCTATATTTGACATATTCGAGTGCCTTTTATTTTAATCTTGTTTGTTGTGTGTTCTGCAATTCAGAAGGATGTCTTATTCTCCTTTTGTGTTTTCTTCTTCTTCTTTCTAATAAAACTTTCCTTTCTATGTGGTTTTTGTGGCATATTAGGTTGCTCACAATCCTGTATTTTGTTTTGAAATGACGGTTAAATGTCAAATTCTTTTCCGTAAGTGGTTCTCTGTGTTTGATTAGCCATGCTATTAGTGCTCCCTCACATTTGACCTTTCTCTTTTCCTTCTTTTAATTCTAAATCCTGTCACATGACACAATATTGGCTTTGTAATTTGGCAGTGTCCTTTTGTTTTTGGACAAACTCCTAATCCTATTATACATGTGCTTGTCCGTGCTTGTATAACGGTGGGTCATGATTTGGTCTCGTTATTCTTTTGCTTCAGGAGTCCCACTCTACTTCTGTGAAATGTTTGGTTTAGAACATTTCGATACGCCAATATATGCCCAGTTACTGGCAGCCCTTATGCTGCCACTTCGGTTTGGTGCCCTGAAAAAACATCCTAGGAAAGACAGTAAGATGTTAAGAGGTTTGGAATCGTATCTCGGGCATGTTCAAGGATGTTTTTTTTTTTTCCCTTTTTTTCCCTTTGAGCTGTTCCGCATCTGTAATGCCAATCTTGTTTTTACCTGGAATTATATGACAAAAGCCTAGCTATTTGCAGAAACAGCTTTAGGCAAGAAGTAGAGTAGCTCCCAGAGGATTCTTGAAGAAAAACCTTGGATGAACAAGACAAAAAACACCTAGTACAACAAATTAGCATAGCTCATGGAATGCTAGACGTCAAGACGAGGCCCAGGCATAGCTTCATGCAGGGGAGTGATGCTGCAGCCTGCAGCGAACACCGAGGCTCTAGTGTCAAGGCCAAAGAGCAGGCATGCAGCGACCAACATTAATTTCAACGGGTCAAAAACTATAAGCTAACATGCTACCAGTTAGATAATCCCTATGATGTTGCGGATTATTTTTTTTTTATAAAAAATAATAAGAAAAAGTTAAAATTTAAAAACCTTACATCTTTTTATAAAGTTATATCTAAAAATCTTAAATTTAATTATATTATCTAATTTAAAAATAATATTTATAATATTAATAATAATATTAAATTTACATAGCCCAGTAAGTTTAAGTGTAATACCAGAAGTTTTGGATGTGAGTTTGACTGTAAAATTATATTATAAAAGTGTAATAATTAAATAAATTAATTAAAAAAATCAATAGAAAAAAAAAGTAATGAAGAAAAAGAAAAAAAATCTGAATTAATTGGGTTAACCCATCAAAACCTTGGATTCATGTCATGAAAATTTGATAACTAAATAAAAAAAATTGACAGGTTAACCTCTCAAACAAGTTAACCTCTCAAACCAAGTTACCTGACAAATCAGGATCTGTATCATGAAAGCTTGATAACTAAATAAAAAATAATTGAATATTAACAATCTAAATTAAATGAAAAAAAAATTAATTAAAAAAACAAAAAAAAAAGAGATCAGCCTGTTACTAATGAGAAAAAACAAAAAAAAAATCTAAATTAACTGAGTTAACCCATCAAATCTGAGATTTGTATCATAAAAATTTGATAACTAAATAAAAAAAATTGACGGGTTAAATGAAAAAAAGTAACAAACTAAACTAAACGAAAACAATTGATTAAAAAGTAAAAAAAAAATTGGATAAATTTGTCAAATCCAAGATCTGTGTCATAAAAATCTAATAACTAAATAAATTTGTTTTTAACATTTACAGACTAAATTAAATAAAAAAATTAACAAAAAGAAAAAACAACAAAGAAAAAGTATAAAAAAAACCCATAAAAGTATAAAAAACAAAAAAATAAAAATAAAACTGGAAAAAAAACAAAAAAAAAACCTTTCAATTACTTATGCATAAAAGACGTGGGGGAAGCTTTTTTGTTTTCATATTCATAAGCTAAATTAAATAAAAAAAAATTATTAAAAAAACATAAAAAAAAGTAAAAAAAATCTATAAAGACATAAAAAAACAAAACAAATAAAAAAAAAACCTTTCAATTATTTATGCATAAAAGGTGGAGGAAGCAACGGTGATTTCCCAACATCTTTTGGTATATTATTAATAAAATCAATCTTGTTTTTACCTAGAAAAAAAAGATAAATTTTAGCCCCGGGATATCAAAGAACCACGAGCACATCTTTGGAAACGTGCTACTTGAATCAATAAGAACAAGAAAAATCTTGATGTTTTGTCTGCATTTTTTTTTTTTTTAGCATTGTTTTAAAAGAGAATTATAAAATTCAGACATATAATATTAACACTTTGATAATATCTCGTTATTTATTACAATAAAAAACCACAGCAGTTCAGAAATCTAAGCCTAATACTCTTCATATTGGTTTAAGATCTCATTGCAACATGAGTGAGTCGCCAGCATATCTTATATATTTTTTTTAAATCTTTTCTATTTAATTTTTTTTAGATTCAAGGAAAACTTTTTTTCAAAAAATATATTTTATAAATTTAGATGAACCAATAAAATCTCAGCTGTCCAAAACTCTTATAAAAAAAGTACACCCTAACTTAAATTCAAGAATTATTATATAAATCTTAAATTTTTTACTATTACATTACGTTTTTAATCTATTTAATACTATATCAAAGCAAATTATAAATCATCTGTCCAATTATATAATAAAACTTTAATTGTATTATTTTGAAAAATACTAATCTCATAGAGTTAAAAAAATTCTAAGCCATGCCCTCTCATCAAAAAGAGAAATGATGGAGATAAGAAGTCAACATCAAGATAGAGAAGCGTTTGTAAGTATACATAAATAATGGTTTGTTTAAAATATAAAATTCTATTTATTTTTGTGAATTATAAAAAAATTGGAAATTTTAAAAAATATAATAAATTAAACATATGAAAAAATATGTTTTTTTTCTATATACACTAACTAATAAATAATAATAAAGAAAAGAAAAGAATAACTTAACCAAATAATTGTAAACGGGCTAGACACTTGATATAGACGATGTAATCGATCAACAGCCACTTGGAAAAAAAAATAAAAATTGTTGAATTAAGCCCACTTGTCAACTTTGCCCTTGCGTTACTACTTCTGCCTGCGACTTTGCTATGAGTCCAAACAAACATTGTTATTAATTACCCCAAAACACGACAGGTTGTTTGATGACTTGTCAATTCAGAGCTAGAGAGCTTGGTTAAAATCAAGTTTGTTTTTAAGCCTAGTTATGAGATGATTTATTTAAATTTAGATGATTTGATTGATAAACTCTGTTTAAAGTTAACTGCAAGATTTTTTAAAGATATTATTTTTGTTCATAATAACATTGTTACATTTCTTTGTTCTCAATAATATAGTTTTATTTAAAAAAAAATTAACTCTAGTTAAACATATAACAAAACTTAAATCATAAAATAAAATAAAATATAAAAATATATAGCTTCAAAGAAGGTTAATATTCAAAACAAATGATCCAAGTTTAAAATCAAGATCATCATATAAAAAGACAAACATAAAAAAATCACAAAATATAATTTATAATCATAAAAAGTAAAAATATAAAATATAAAACAAATAAAATAAAAATAATAAAAATCAAATTTGATATAAAAACTAAATAAAATAATAATAATTAAAGACTGAATTGAAAACAATAAAAAATTAAAACAACAATAAAAAAAATAAAGATAAAAATTGAATAAGATAACTAAATAAAAAAAATATTGAGGGATAAAATAAAAAAACAATAAATCAAGAACATGATAAAAAAATGAAAATTAAAAAAGAAATAAAATAAAATAAAATAATGAGAAAACAATTGAAAAAAATCAAGAAAATGGTAAAACACACAAAAAAATTAAGACCAGATTAAATAAAAAATTATAAAATATCCAAGGATAAAATTGAGAAAAAATAAACATTAAAAAATGAAAAAAAAAAAATAATAATAAAAAACACAATAACCAAAAATAATAAAAATAAAATTCAAAGGATATAGGCAATTTTTAAAAGGGCTAGTATGAATTTCTAAGTAAAAATAGAGAATAAGCAACAACGACCTTCCCTTAATTTTTTTTAAGGGCAATCCAATCACTTGACAAAAAATCATCTAATGACTTTGCATGTTTAATACTTTTTTGCTTTTAAAGTTATAAGGATAATATTGAAAATAAAAGAAACCCTTGAACTAATTTTATTTTTTTTGCTTTTAAGAGCAACAAAATTATTTTACTATGCCAACAAAATATGTTTAGATCAAGTCAATTTTGTAATGTCTAATAAATTCCTAGAAAAGATGATTTCACTTTCAATTGCAAGTTTTGATAGTTTTTTAAGACAGTAAAACAATCATTGTATTGTTTTAATCCATAATCATAGCTACACTAATGACTTTTAATTATTTTTTTATAATATGGTTGAAGTAAATTAGTTTTACAGTTGAAAAAAAAAGAAAATGGTTTTAAAATTAGGTTCCAACTAACAAGTAACAAATCATGTTAAGTTCATATATCCTCTTTTTATTTTTTTAAAATAATTTCTTTTGATGTACCTACTTGGCAAAAATAGAATAGTTTATTGGCCATTTGAAAGCAATTTTCTATTATAATTAAGCGTGTGGAACAAAAATCTTTCAACTAAATTCAATTCTTTTTATTTTTCATATTCCCTTATCCATTTCATCTTCTTCCGCACGATCAACTTGTCATTGCAACGTATCAGATTTTGATGAACTCAAAACACAAGGAAGATATATATTAAGCACAAATCCCAATTTTGAGAATTATTATTATTAATTTTTTAACCATAGATCCTTATACTTTTTCAAAATTTCAATGGTTATTTTTTAGCTGCGAGAGAAACAAAGTACAATATAATATTAAACATGATTCATCTGCATTAAATTTTGTTAAAAGCATCGATCTTCCTCCACTTTTGGCTCCTATATTAAACATAAATTAAGAATAATGTGATGAGGATACAAGCATATTGGCAATGATTGAATATTTACTTTTCAGGTTCTACAAAGCCACAAAATACTTAAAAAAGCG